TCTCTCTCTCTGCCTCCCCCCCCCCCGCCCCTTCCAATTTCCTTCGTTTCCTGTTCTTTCTACAGCATTTTCTCTTTGTGTGTGTGTGTGTGTGTGTACTCCTGCTGTTGTTACATACAGTTTTTTGTTTTAATATTCCGCTAGACGTCACGTCGCTGGCACTGCTTTCAATATCCTATTTTGTTTGTTTCTTTCCCCCTCTTCTCTGCCGTTCCTTGTTGTTGATCTGGATAAGACGCGTGAGGTGCGCGCACTCGACGCAACCCTCCAGCGCACACACACACACACACACACACCTCACGATAAATGCATATAAATAGAGAAGCTGTATCCGTATATATACATATATGGTGACTAACGTGGTTTTTGTTGTTGTTGTTCTGATTATCTCTCTGTTGGGATATCGTCAGCTGTATTAATACATATTCCTACATTTGTAGTTGTAATGCGAGAGTGCAGCTGGCCAAACATGATTTGCGTCTCCTCGCCTCTTTCTCTGTTCAGCTAACTCTTTCTACTTCTATGCTGCATGTGACAGCAGCTTTTCTTAGGCTTCTTTTTTTTTTCCTTTTCAGCTTTTTCTTTTAATTATTTTTTGTACTTCATCAGCGTAGCACGCATCTCTCTTTCTCTTTCTCTCTCTCGGTGTCTCGCCCGTTTCCTATTTTTTTCCACTTCCTCTCCCCACCCCACCGACCCACCCACCCAACACACACACACACACCGTGTGAGAGGGAGGGAAGGAGCGCCGTGACGAGACACACACTGCTTCCCTCCTCCCCCTCCCCCTTCGCTTCGACGCGCCGCAAGAGCTGTCACGCTCGTGCGTTTCACCCCGCCTATTCGTTTGTCTTTACCTCGTCAGGCGCGTTGTGCAGCGCGCTCTCTCTCTGCCTTCCCCCTTCTTCTCTCCTCACGCGCCGTAGAGAGCCACAGCAACGGCAAGAACCGCTCCCTCAGAGAAAAAAAAACCTGAATAGTACGTAAAAGGGATTGAAAGGGAAGAGTAAAGTCGATGCATCGCCGTCTGCTCTCGTCCTCGTGCACGCAATGCTTTGTATTTTACTGCTGTAGCTGTTTTTTTTGTTTTTTTTAATTTCTTCTTGCTCGTTTGGGTTAGACTAAAGGCGTAGGGCGTCGGCTGCGTCCTCTGCGTCTCCTCGTTCGAGGTACGGATTCCAACCGCGCGGCGTCTCACCTCGGTTAGCTTCGCTTTTTGCGCTTACACAGACAGACACAGAGACAGACACAGACACAGACACAGACGAGATATTTCCTCTCTTTCTTCTTTCAGACACATTTATATATGTATATCATCGTTAAATAAAAGGAAGTAAAGGATATTGTTTCTCTCCTATGAAAATGTGCGTGGTTTTCCTTTCTCCTCCTTTGATTTCTGTTTCCCCAACGCACCAAGTGTGTCTGTGTGTGTGTGTGTGAGTGTGTGTGTGTTCTCGATAAAAGCACTACGTCGTGCACGACGCGATGAGTGCTGAAGTAGCAACGATAATAACAGCCACAATGGTCGTGATCGCAACGGGTGGACAGGAAGCG